TCAAAAGATTTCAAAATAAAATTTCAAAATAAAAGCACAAAATATGTATTTTAAAAACAGTATTTAACCTTTTTCCTCCCGTAAAAACGACATTTGACGACCTCAGCCGTACCCGTAATGTCGTTTTTTGTGACCTCACTATATATCAGTATATAACCTCAGTAAGCCGATCACTGGGGATGGGTATCGTTTAGGTTTTATCCGATACCGGTGCCAAACCGGTACTTTTGAAACGGTGCCGGTGCTTAAACGGTGCTCAAACCGGTGCGTAAAGAATGGAGAACACAAAATTGGTCCAAAAACCTCTCATGTTCAGCTGTTTTTTTGTAAAAAGATAACAATGATAGCCTTTTCTGCAGCTATAAGGGATTTATGGTATCACTCTTGGCTGGAAGCAGTGCTTAAACAATGGAAAAAACACAAACTTTGTCCAAAAACCTCTCATGTTTAACTGTTTTCCACTTTTTCTTTGGTCATTTTAGCCTTTTTGTCCAGGGTGAAGGGAGTATCTGCCATCAAACAAGAGGACAGCCGCATGTAGCTATGATGATGTTTGCTAGTTCACCTTACATGCATTAATGTAATAACGTGGTTAGCCTACTCAACGTAAATTACACACGAACAACATTAAGCTACTCACGCAGAGAAGAACGGCTGCTGCCATCATCATCCTCATCATTTCTGCTACACTGGCAGGGCTAGGGGCCAGGACTCTCCTCTTCGGGTTTTTGGGGGATGTTGCTAACTCCGGTCCGATAACAGGCACCACACCCTCAGTAGATGTGCACGGTGTGAGGTCTCACAGCAAGCTATCAAATACTGCGCATTTCTCGGCTTTTAAAAAAAACGCTATATGTCGCCAGTTGTTTCATCGGATTTGAGGTGTTACCTCCTTTGACAGTATCACAGTATCAGCTTAAAACACTTGTTGCTGCTGAGTTTGCATATTTTGCTGTGAAGTACAGCCAGACTTTTGACCACTTCGCCTTGGGCATTTTTAATCTGTAGCTCTGCTCTAAAAGAACGTACGTACCTGGACCCGCCTACTATCCTCGGAAATGTAAAATGATTGGCTAGAATCTAAAGTGTATCACAGCTCAGGAAGAAAAAGCACCGAAATAAAGCACCGAAATGTGCGCTGCTTTTCGGTCTGGTTACTACGGTTTATGTCAGAACGGGTGCCATCATAGCACCGGATACTGGTACCCATCCCTACCGATCACCCTCACTAACGTCTGACATGCACCCAATCATTTTGTTCTGTAAGCAGCCAGAATGACAACGTTCAGAAAAAAGAAATTAGGTTTATACCCTAGCAGTCGTCAAAGAGAGTTGTTCTACCTGTTATTAATCATCCAAATCCTAATCTAAAGGATTTAGTAGAACTTGTAGATTAAATTAAGTCAGGTCTTCCCCAAAGGTAGAAGGACCCATGACCGAGTTACACTGCATCACGTGGAAACAGAGATATTCATTGTTTTATGTCATATCAATCAACTAAAAAAGCAAATGAACACTTCAATAAAGCGAGCACAGTTAGCACATAGCTATAGTGAAGAGTCATGCTTGAGATAAAGACATTAAGCTTCTCACTCCAACACCTCCTGAGATATTAGTCAATAAGGAGTGATAGCGGCCTATAGATCCCTGTGGGACAACTTTTCTCCACGGTGCGCTGAGCTGCTCCCCCCTCATCCAATGAGGAGGGGCTTGTAGTTCGATGCTGCAATAAACAGTCGCCGTGCAAACTCCCCGCCCCACCCCGGAGAATCTGGCTCTCCCTGTGTCTTTGTAGATATATATAGAGTTTCTCCTGCAAGGCTGTCAGATTGTGTTTGTCTCCACGGTACTCTCCTTGTTCACACTTCACACCCTTTAGATTCCAGCTTTCCAAACATACGGGCCATGCGAGATGGTTGTCCTGCTGAGGTCAGCTGTTGTTTTGCATGTGTGTGCGTGCGTGCGTTTGTGTTGTACAGTGTGGCTGTTGTTAGGGAAAATGTCAGGCTGCAGGGAAGGAAGTCTTCGGCTGTGTGGAATGAGTTTCGTCTGTCTGACAGTTTGAAGTGTCTTCATAGGCAATTAAGACAAAAGAAATGCTCTTTGGAGAAGCTTCTGAGATCCAAAACGAGGTGCAGATACAGGTCGAGCTCAGAACCCTTTGCTGAATGACACTCGAGCAGGTCCATAAGTGTCCTCCGCCCTGCTGCCTGCATTCATTTCCTGCAGCTCTCTGGCCCCTGTTAGCTCGCTGAAACGTTTGCCAGCTCTTTTCCACGCCTCAGCTCTTCTCCCAGCTGAGCAGCGTGGCAGCGGGCCACCAATTTGTAGATAAGAGCCTATTTCTCAATAGTGCCAGCAGATCAATAAGGCAGGCTGGGAAAGCACTTAGGAATGACTGATGGCCAAGGCTATTAGGTAGTCTATGCTATTACCTGTTGTGAGAATATACACCCACTTTAATTGATATTGTGTAGTTATTTAATCGCGGGAAACATGAAGGGCATCTAACTGAAATGCAATATCTTTTCCTTGAATAAAGTGGGGTCCCGGTTCATGTAAGTATAATATAAGTGTCTGTTTGTGAAGTAGCAACTAGTGTGCTAACAGTTTGCCACCTTTGGAAAACTGCGATAAGTCACTGTATATAAAAGATGGCCACATTGACATTGACATCAACTCTAGCAAGCTGCGTTCATACACTGTGGAAAATGGAGTAGAGACATGTTGTGCAATAACGGGATGATTGCATTCAGAAAAACAGCACAGAGGTCTGGTTCAGTGAAGCGGCAGTGCACCTAGGAATCTTCAAGTGGCCATTTGAGGAACTGCAACCAATAATTATTACAAGCCAATAAGCAAATGCTCTGTAGACCCTGCTATTACTGAGTTGGACTCCCTGTTACGACCCGGCTCTGCTAGGCGGCAGCGGACGTAACATAAACGAGCCCAGAGACCAAGGAGTTAGATAGGAAGACAAACATAAGGTTTATTAACACAACTGAAATCCGTTAGTGAAACAACACACTAGGCAGCAGAGTAACTTTAAACAAACACCACGATTAATAACACCAGTAGAGCACTGCTCTACTAAACGTCTCGCAGGAGGCAACACAAAACAAAGGCAAAAGGCAAGGGAGGGACTCTCTGTACAGTCTGTTCAAATCAACAAGTCCCTCGACGAATGAAGACTCCTCAGCCTTTTATACTATCAGGTAACTGCAGTCAGCTGTGTCATAGTCCTAACTGCAGACAGCTGTGTCACTTGTCCGTCGTACTCCAGGCTCCTGCAGCAGCCAATGGTGTGCGCAGTCTGACAGGCTCGGATCCGCATGAAGTTGGGGCGGGCATATGTCCGGGCCAGCCAATCCCCCGTGAGTCCTGGAGCACCGTGAATTCCATGGAGGAAGGCGGGACCACCTGAGGCCAGCGGCCGTAACACTCCCTTTTGCCCAAAGATTCTCTGTGGTTCAGAATAAAGTGTGCCAAGACCACCAGAAGACCACCCAGTGTGGCCTTCTGCTGCTGTAACTCGTGCTCTTCTGCATAGCTTGGTTGCAGTGACTGGTTATTTGAGTCACTGTTGCTGTCACTGTCCTATCAATTCAAAGCAATCTGGCCATTTTCTTCCGACCTCTGACATCAACAAAACATTTTTGCCCAGAAAACTGCTGATATTTTCTCTTTTTTCAGACCATCCTGTAGGAAAATCCCAGCAGATCAGCAGTTTCTGGAATACTCAGACCAGATGGTCTGTCACCACCAGTCTCATTTAAATCACCTTTTTTTGCCATCCTGATGCTCGGGTAGTCTTGACAAAGTCTGCGTGCCTAAATGCGTCAAGTTTCTGCCATGCAATTGTCTGTGTAGACATTTGCATTAAAAAGCAGCTAATAGGTAAAATGGCCAGTGAGTGTAGTTGCTTTTTAGAGATCCAGCAACAGTTACACAGCAAAATGAGCGTTTGTTGGCAGTTCTGCTTCATGCTGATGAATATTAGTCCAGTTCATTCTCCTTTGAGCTCTCCTTCGGCCTCTTCACAGGCCATTTCACAAAATATGAAATATTGATCATAGACCCACTGTCTGTCTGTCCCCACTGAATGAAGGCAGTGCTGTTTTGAAGAAGTGTGTGTGTGTGATTTGAGCAAAGTGCACTTTTAAGGAGTTACTTACCAAATTACAGATGTCAGCCTCTTCTCAAAACCAGAAGTAATGTACACGGCTCTTTATAAATTCATGCTAAGCCTTGGAGTTTTTACAGCAGTAACAAGCATCAAATATAGCCAAAGATGAATATGAAGTAGAAAATAGTTGTTTCCAGTGCCCCAGTGTTCATGTCTCTCCCATGTGAGAGCAGCACATTAGCTTTATTCAATTATTCAATAACTTATTCCATTACTCTCCCCAGCCTGGTTTCCTCGTATCGATGGCTCAGAGGGGAAGAGGACTGGGCTTGTCAGCCCCACGCGTTGGGGGAGAAAGCTTTTGATCCTTAAGACGTGCTCAGTGCACGATGGAAATGGTGCAAGTGCAAAGTGCAGAGCTAACGATTTTTAAACAAGAATTGGAATCCATTAAAATATGCAGCTTGCGCACCATGCAAACACATATGTAATGTATTCAGCAATAAATGGACCATCAGTTGGGTTTTTTCATGATGGCGGTTTTCTGATAGAACCTCCTGTTGGTACCGGATGCCCGCTGAGCGGCAGGAGTCTCCTGGGAAGCTGAAGCTGAGTGTAGTTGGGTTTATTCCTCTCCTCTCTATTGTGCATTGTTTCAAACCCCTTATTGTTTGAGCATTGAGCAAATACAGTATGTAGGCCAACAATGCACACACACTCACACACACAAAAGCAGCCACATTTATGGCTCTTTCCCTCTCTTTCTTCGTCCCGTAGGAATTAAGAAGTTCCTGTAGTCGGTACCAAAAGACACCCAGCGGGGTGGCGAAGGCAGCGCAATTCCACTGATGTCACTTTCTCTCTTAATTTGCAGGTACCAGCAGGTACCGGTGGTTCTGGTGGGCAACAAGGTGGACCTGGAGGATGAGAGGGAGGTGTCCCCCAGCGAGGGCCAGGCGCTGGCTGAGGATTGGGGCTGCCCCTTCATGGAGACGTCGGCCAAGAGCAAGACCATGGTGGATGAGCTTTTCGCAGAGATCGTCAGGCAGATGGACTTCTGCCCTCTGCCGGACCGGAGAGAGGCCTGCTGCCCCGCCTGTAGCATACAGTAGCTGAATGTCGGAGGGGAGGTGGAGCAGGAGTGATTGGTGGATGGATTGGAGAGGAGTAGAAATTAGAGTCCAAATGTATTCATGTTAGACAAACTTGAAGATTGGAGAGGGGGCAGGGTTAAAGGAAGCAAACCCCCACTTTTGGTGTCACTATTCTTAGCTGCTTCCTAGAGGATTCTGGGAAATGTAGGAAGTTGCAGAGAAAGCAGGTTAAGGGGAATTCAGTTTTGACATTCACTACTTCTCCAACACAGAGGGGATTTTTTTCCCCTCTTAAAATAAAACAAAAAACAAAAACGCACGACCTTCCTGCTACTATCACGGTTTTTGCTGATTATTCCAGAGTGAATTCCCGGGGTTTTCCCAAAGGCAGCGCGGTGCCAAAAACCATCTTAAAAGCCATCAACAAAGAGGACCACAGTGCTAAATGCTTTTGGGAAAGCAGCCATAGGTCCATGGGAGGACAGCTCGGCGTGCTCAGCAGTTCTATCTGTCCTGTTTTTCTTCTGCTTGTTGTTCTATTTTGCACTTTTTTGTTTTTTTTGCCAGTGCAACGGCCATTCACCGAGTACCCGGAGAGATAAGTTAACACCACTGTGAAGGAGTCGTTACTGGAAGGTGCATTTGGAAGCAGGGCCCACCTTAACAATAAATGAATGACAGGATGAACGAATGTGTTTGAAACAAACAAACAAACAAACAAACAAAAAAGGCCGCACCTTTAGGGGGGGATTCATGTCCCATTCATGTCACAGATAATAACTGTGGATGACGTGTGCACGAAGTTGTACTGTCACACTCTCAAGTGAGTACAATCAATCGCACCCAAAGAGACGGTAATCAATCAGTCAGTCAGTCGATAAAATGTACCAACACTCTGCAGACACCTTACAGATGATACAAATGCCTTGTTACAATGTATGAAGTGAACATCAGTGTCAGTGTGTAGCTCATCTATCTTTAGTCACATCGGATATGTTAGTGGTTCAATGTCAGAAACACTTATTTTCAACAAAATAATAAATCTTTATGCACAACTGTGTCGTGTGTGTTTTTTGTTGGATCATGTTTTTTTGTGTGTCATCAAAAAATGCCTTTGTTTTTTTCCCCCCCTCCCCAGTCTTTGAAGTTACCGCTCTCCTTTCATGTTAACCTCCAGAGGTCATAAGATTTGCACTCATTGAGAAAACATAGCCGCCTTTCAGCTTTGCTCTTTAGCAGTAATCTGGCACTGCCTTGGCCTGCGTCGAGATGATTTATGATGTTTTGGTCCTGCGTCTGCGTTCCCCTGGCTGGTCGTCCTTGTGCTACTGCCCCTGCCGGTTGCCATTAGTGCCAACGCTTACTGCAGATTCTGGTCCTGAAAAATCCAGCGGGCATTTGTCAAATTTGGAGTGCCATTAGAGTCCATTAAGAGGATGAAACTAAGGGGGCATGTGAGACTCCAGATTCAGGATCATAACTTTGGATTCCCTCCAATCAGAATAAGAGGAAAAGTCTTTCAGCACTTTGGAAGGTATGGAAGCTGAAGTGATGCTGAAATACATCTTAGACACCATATGTTAGGAACAGTGCCTGTAAAAATATCACAGTAAACGATATATTTTCTTGACTGGCTTAATACAAAATTACACTAGCTTCTTTGAAACTACTGCGAGCAGCGACACCTGCTGTCGTAAGCTAAAACCGCGTGTCGTTTTACACGTGGAACTTTAGCTTCCGAAAACATCAGTTCCTCTACGGACCTAAATATGCGCTGCACACGAGTCAGGCATGGCGTCCTTCAACCATAGACGTTTGTAATAGACATTTATCTGTTTGCTCTGTTTGAGGTATTTTTTTTGCGTGGCTGTAGGAACAGTCGTGAAAATGGCGAGCAGGACCGTGTGTCGAGTTTTCCAGCGACGTGAGTACCAGTTGTTATCCGTGTAGCACTAGCATATGTAGCTGGTCAGGCTTGTGACAGTTAGCTGTAAGCTGCAGTAATGCTCCTTTAAAGCTGGATTTAATTGTCATAGAAATAAGTAATACAATAAAATATATTTTTTACGGTTTTATATTGTAAAGAGAAAGTACTGGAAACAGGAGGGTCACCGCAAGAAATGTTAGAGCAGCTTTGGGATGTGTTGGAACAGGAGATTCCCATCATGGACGTGCAGCCGACAAATCTGCAGCGACTGTATGGTGCTGTCATGTCAATGTGGAGCAAAATCTCCGATGAATGTTATCAGCACCTTATTGAATCAATAACAGGAAGGCACAGGTTAAGTACATAGTAGTTTTTCAGGTGAAAGGAGGTCCAGCTCAGTGACAGCAGGTGTACCTAATAAAGCGCCTTGTATGTGCGCGGGTGTATAACGGTACAAACTCATGGCAATATCTAAAACTCTGTTTTAGAGTCACGGTTGGGTACAGCAGACGAATAATAATGATGATGATGATGAAAAAAGTCGACTTCTTAGCTTTAGTTTCCTTAAATAATTGTACAATAAATATTTGTATAAAGGTCTAAAGCAGGAGTCGGCAATCTTCGACATCGAAAGAGCCTCTGAAATAAAATATAAATTACAACATATAGATAACATAGATAATTCACTTCAATTAACCATTAACGGCAGACCTGCTACCTGTACGTCGTGTGTTCAACTTCCTCACATTACAGGATCGTTTACACTCTGGTTTCCTTTAAGTTCTTCTTTCCATCCATCCTGCCCATCCACAGGCTTTGCATCCGCTGTGGCAGCTCAGCGTCCATCTCTGGCTGAGGTACGCAGTCAGCGTAACGCCGTCTTCTCCAGAGAGCAGGCCAGGCAGAGAGCTCTGTACCCCCGCATCGAGAAGATCGAGGTGTCCATGCAGGGCCCTGGGCTGGACGGTGCGCTGCTCGTCATGAACAAAGGAATGTCCACCCCGCTGAGCTGCGCCAGACGTGAGTGAAAAGAACAAACCGATTATAAATTCTCCACCGTAAGCTTCAGTTGCACGTGTTAATAACGTGTTGTTACATGTTTCACTCCAAACAAACGCTCTGTCACTCTCAGATCTGACGGAGCATCATGTGACAAACTCAGCTCTGGCTCTTGTGGACGGAGAACCATGGCCTCTCCACCAGCCCCTCACCCACTCCTGCTCACTCACTCTGCTCACGTTTAAAGACAACGACCCCACACTGGTCAACGAGGTACTTTAACAGACAAACGTTCTCTCATAAATTCAGCTTGCTGCTGAAGGATCACACCTTTTATTTGAGAAAAGAAAATATTGTTGACAACAGAACATCAGAGCTGCAAGTCCAGTAAAGACGTGGAAGCCAGTTTGTAGAATAAGTGAATACTTGAGTGTTAGTCCTGTCCTCTTGTCTTGTGCTCAGGTGTACTGGCGTTCCTGCGCTGCCCTGCTGGGTCAGGTGCTGGAGACCGCCTTCAAGGATGATTATACTGTGGAGCTGCTCAGCACACGGGACGTGCCAGGTATAAAACCACTGTTTACCCTGACCCCGAGTATGTGTCTTCAGAAGTTTGACCTCGAGTGTTTTACCTGGTCTTTGTTGACTCATGTTAAATAATTTAAAAAAAAACAAGGTAGTGTTTAGTTAATGACGTATGTTACATATCTTGATATTTGATATTTAAGCATTTTTTTAAGTGAAAATGTTGCTTTGACATTTCTGCTTCTGCTGTGCTGACTTTGTATTTCCCTGCAGTCCTCTCTGGGGCCTTCTGCTGTGACGTGGTGCTCGACCCCCAGCTCGACTCATGGACTCCCTCTGAGGTGCGTGTATGGTCCAACGCTCTATTACGCCACTGCAGTCGCTGCCGACATCATTTCTGTTTACCTAGATGGTGAATATTCATCTGTTTTACTGCAGTGGCAGCTACTCATGGCCTCTTGAATACAACTCAGGGCTCGCAAAATTTCAAAATCCCTGGCAGGCTCTCTTCAGTTTTTGGTAGCCCAAAATAAATTTAAGTAGCCCGAAAAAAAAAAAGAGAACAATTTTCTGATTGATGTTTTGTTTCCTTTACAATATTATAGTTTAATGTATAATATTGTAAAGGAAACAACTTCAGATCCTGAATCTCAAATTTCCACTGAAGTCCCGGGTAAGAGGTAAGTGGAACCAAGATCTACAACATTTGCTTTTTGAAGTTTGCAAAGACGGCTAAATTTTGCTAATGGTAGTTCACTCTGTGCAACATAGTTCGCTGTTCTAAACAGATTTTTCAGGACTTCTTGTTGTGCTTTGTTTATTTTTAGTATGTTTTTGCAATTGGTGTTTGTTCCGGGAAAGATATTGCAGACTGGGCAATAATGCATTTCTTGCATTTCTCATGGGTTCTGATGGGTCTTTCTTAAAATTACTGGTCCCAGTAACAAAGGCGCTTGTCGACGCAGATATCGAGGGAAACTCACGACACACCCGGCAGAACATTATGTTATTTAGCTCGTCATATTCCAGCCACAGAAATTCTTTTGTCCATGAAACCAAAAAAAGCTGCGCTTTCTTTTTGCCTCATAGTCTGATTTGTTTTGTGGTAAGCTTTTCTTTGGCTGCCCCTTCTTCATCCTGACCCGTCTTATTTGGCTCTGCAGAACTAAAATACCTGCATAAATCCATCTGTTTTTATACACAAACACACACCCATCACGGTCAGCGATTCTCTGTGCAATCAGCCTCTATCACATGTTCAAGTTTGCTTGTCATGTTTGAATAGTGAGCTAATGAGTGATAAGACGATGTCAGAAGAATTGGTGCGCAATTAATCTGTGACTCACCAATACTGCCGCTCTCTATACGCACAGTGAAAGTGAAAGCAAAAAACAAGCGCAAATTCAAACATGTGACATTGAGACATTGACAGTGGCTCTTCAATGCTAATTAGATAATTACCCAGCTACATTTGCGAAAGAATGCAAAAGCATTGACATATATTTTTCCTTTCTACGATAGCCCGACGGGCGGGGCTGAGTTAGATTTTGGTAGCCCGACTGGAAAAAGCCCCGTGACTCTAGAAAAACCTACAACTGTTCAGGCAGGTTGTAGTTTTTACTGTAAGAAGTAGTGACATCCAGCTAATGTTAAGTTTCTCTTTAATGAGATTTTCCATTCAAAAATCAGCTGATGTTTTACTGTCTGTTTCTTTTCAGGAGTCATTACGCTCTTTGACCAGAGGAGCCCAGCAGCTCATCCACCAAGACCTGGCCTGGGAGCCTCTGGAAGTGGCGCCCTCTGTGGCACTGGAGGCTTTCTCACACAGCAGGTAGACTGGCATCTGAGTACTGCTCAGCTGTGTAGACAGCTGACACTTCCACGTACCTCCTTTCACGACTCATTTAGGTTTAAATGCTTTATTTGTTGTATTTTCTCCTACTCTGGCAGGTGTAAGCAGGAAGAAGTGGAACAGAAAGCATCTCAAAATCCTAAAGGCACAGTGATGCTCTACAGGTGACACTGCATTTAAAGTACAAAAAGAGAGACCTGGCCAAGAGAGCAGCACACAACGCAACCAATGCATGCTCAAATAAACGAACAGATACAACTGACGCACAGTTCAAGAAAGAAAACACAACATCCAGATATCGGCATATCTCCTATGCAGTAACATATCAAGAGCGGGACCACCTTTAGGAGCAGTCACTTAAACTAAGAGAACTATTTGGCACTGAAGTTGGTACTAAACTCGAGACAGGTATCCTAACTTTAGTTAGAGTTTATGAATTTGCGTCTCCTTTGACTTTGCAGGCTGTGCTTCTGCATTTAGCAAATATGTGTAACAGTATTTGGACACTGAGCAAACACCAGTAGACTGAAACTTTCCTTATTGCACTGCATGACGGGCAGAGTAGAATCTTTCATTATTCCTGCACTTACCTGAACTCAACCAACCATGTACCCGTTTTGGTAGATGTGGCGACCATGTACTCCTGAGTGGGGGCCCCCTGGTGGCCAGAACAGGCCTGTGCTCCCAGTATGAGGTGACGGCCCTCCACAGCCTGGGACAGGGATCCTGGGGCCTCCATCGTCGAGCACAGGGCC